ATGTATTTCTTTATGCTTTTTTGCAATGTAATCCTAACCTAAAAACGTCCCTTATACAAATACACGCTGATGGGGGAAAGGGGAAGCGGTAGGTACGAGGTAGGTAGATATTTACTTGGGATCGGATCGGTTAACGTATTTGCTTAAAAGCTTAAATATTTTTTATTTGTTTTCCTTCAACATCTCTCTTTCAGATGAAATGGTAAACTGACTTATGTAGGTACAGGAGAAGGGTTTACGACAAATTACCTAAATCGCAATTTTCCACATTAATAACTACTCACTTGATATTTCAGTAGCTCGACCAGAATTAGCCAAGGCCTCACAGAAATCCAAATGCATCCACATTCGCAACACAAGAGAAAATCCTAGTGGTAGACAACGTTTTGTGCAGAAAATCTCCATAATAATCTAATGGTAATATCTATCTACAGTCTAGATACATATCAAAGGCAAAACGTAACATAATCTTAGCCTACAATATTATAACAGCACGGAACAGCCTGCCTTGCGGTGTGGCAGCCTTGGCAGACACGCAGATATGGTCGGGCTGAGCGAACATGGCAAGCTATTTCATAGCTAATTGTTCGTGCCATATGGCCAGACATTGCTTGCATTATAGCTAAATCTTATATGGTAACGTGCAATTAAAACTTGGAATAATAGAAATTTAGATAAGTATGATAGAAATACTGTAGAGTTAATATCGAACGGCAGCGTAACATATGAGTTTGGTTTAACCTCTTGTCTGTATATGAGACACAATAGAAAACATATTGTGCGTTTCGACACTTCACAGGTTAAAAGCTTTCTATTGACCTAACCTAAACGAACTGACTTCAGCTGACGCTACATAAAACATAAGGACCATATTGACATTTTAAAAAATCGAAGCATGGAGTATTCAAAATAGTTTCACATCAATAATTGTAGGTCGCTTTTTTACGGACAGACGGACGATTTAGAAATCGTTGAGGACGTTAATGTTCAGCAGCAAACGTCTAAAGGCTTCATCATCATCATCCTCATCCTTTACCTAAACGAGTTCAAGAAAGAAATTCGCGAAATAGTCAAATCTACTAAAACTATACTTACCTATATATTTTCTATTCATTCGTTAATACAAATCGTCAATGATAAACCACAAATTAATGATATTAGTTTGCAAATCCATTAAACTTACAGATTGCAGTAATTTTATTAAAACAACTATTGGCAACCGATCATTTGGTTAACCAATCGCTTTGGCTAACGTCAACTAACCACGGGATATGCAATGTTTAAACAATAGTGGCTTCTATATCAATGATAATAAGTAAAAAAATACTTTGGAAAAAGCTGGAGTTTAGGGTAGTTTGACAAGCTAACGTTATTTTACCCTTAGGTACCTATAGAACTGAAACAAAATAGGTAAGTACTTTGATTTTCAACTTTCTTGTCAAAGAATAAGATTCAAAATCTACGATACAATTTAATAATTCATTGGGCACGTGTCTAAACCATAGATATTATCATATCAGTGGTCTAAACATTATCAACCCACGTAACTGGCCACGAAGCGATTGCTATTAATTTTGCCATTCGATATTTTTATCCTTACCGATCAGATTTCCACAGTATTATGTTTTATTATTCAAAGTTATCAGGGCATAAAATATACCTATTATAAATAAAACCCAATGAACAATATTTTTTAGATTAACGACCCCAATAAATGACGATTGCCTTACCTATATTGGATTAGAATCATGAATCAGGAAACCCATAGCATTGTTAAAATTTTCAAAAGTATTCAATACCCGTGTAATTGTTTGGAATCGTTCTCAGTGCTAACTTTAGCAACATTGGTGAAAAATTTAATTTCAACGATTACAAGTTAATATAGTTTTAACAACAAAGCCTAAAGTAGCAAATTTTCCAGAATTTTCTAAAGCAAAAAGCCAATAAAAGTTTAATGACAGCGACGTTTAACACATTTAACAGCTCCATTCGACCTATTTGTTGGAAAACTTGAAACCAGAGAGAAAAAAAGGAACAAACGCGAAGTTCCAAGGCGAGGCGGCGCGGCGTCCTCAATCGAACGTCGAGTTCGCTTCCGGTGGAGCCTACTTCCGCCCCCGCGACAGTTCCGCTACACTTGTATAACATACTATGTTGAATTAACTTGCCAATTGTACAACTAATAACTATTTCCTTTATATTTTTCAATAATAAATCTGTTTATTGCCATCATTTATTTAGCTTTGCAGGCTTTATTGTAATCAGAATACTGGCATAAAATCTACAATGGTGTATCATGTGCGGTGATAAACTCGTCACCCTCCTCTACATGGCAATCATAGCCAACGAAAAGCTTTTATATTCCTCTTTTTATAACTTTCTTCCTTTGAGTACCTTCTATAAACCTCAGTTAACCTCTTCAAAGAACATCAAAAATTATATTTAAGTACCTTTATTTATACATTACCAAATAAGGTGAGGCCGTCGCCTCGTGAAGCACCATTAGACGCTCTCCCACAAATATACTGTCAACGTCTGACGTTCTACAGACACTTAGCGCCCTCTTGCGGTCCTTGGGAGCAAACACAACGGATCAAGGACGCTGGAAGGTCGCCTGTGAGGTTGTCAACTGATGTCGGTTCGAATAAGTCTGTTGGTTAGTAGTCGAATGATAATATCTGAGTATAATAAATAATAATAATGTAGGTATAAGTTAAATCTTTTAATGGGTTGACAGAAATAAGTTGGTTTTTCAAAAACTTCGTATTTAACAGAGGGACTTTCAATGTATTTTCTTTTGCTGCTTCGGTTATGCTTACTTACTTACTATAAAGTTCTACATAAAGTTAATAGTTATACTAAACTTGATACTATTAGAAGTGAATTACTTAAGATTACTTAAGCGTGAAGTCAGGCTTGTTAACCAATCCAGACAGGTCCAGATAATGAATAGCTAGCATCTAGTCATCAAAAATGCAAAAAACCAAATGATCAGTCGTGTTTTTCTATGAATGAAATCTTGGGTAGGTATACCCAAACTCCGTTGTAAAACAAAAACATGTGTGTCGACTTATACGTAGACAGATTTAGATTTATAATGGAATCGGTGGTGGATAAATTACCTACATACATATTTCAGATATTTCAAATTCATGAAATGAGATGCAAATTGAGTAAAACAAATGTTGCTCGTTCCCTTCTGTACTTCCGTCCCTTTTCATAAACCGAAATAACCATTGGAAAACCAAAAAGACAAAACAAGAGCCCCAAGCTCATACAAAATGTTCTAAACACAGACTAAATCTAGATGATAATCCTGCTAGTACAGTCCACGGCACGTCCACAAATACCGTCACACAAGCAATAGAAGATGAATGCAATTCACTACATGCTTCTAAGGACCATCATTATTGCTGAAATCAGGCTGCTACAGATACTAATATTGCTTCATTTTGTAGATTTATTTGTGTAACAGCTTTTGCTGAATGATTTGCCTTTTCGTGTGTTTATCTAGTGATGATAAAGGTTATTTTCATGATACGTTATGTTTAAGTTAAACGTTAAAGTTGTTTGTGCTAAACATTTCCTTCTCTGAATATGAAGTTTTAATGTAAAAAATTGTTTTATTTCATTATTCAAAATTTTCGTATTCAAAGTCTTCTTTGCCAGTTCTCGTAAAAATATTGCCACCTCTAGTCTTGTCGTTTCTTTTTTAACAGACCGCGAACTTTTAAAACTTGCCTTGTTTTTCAAGAAAGATTTAAAAATTCATCAAAAAATCTGAACGAAACTTAAAACAACAATATTCCTTACTTTGATGTTGGAACAACTTTCCTAATCTCATTAATGATATAAATTATAATTACTTTGTTCTGGTGTTGTGTTTCCATAACACTATCGCATTTCTAACATTAACAAGGAAACTTCGGCTTTTATGCTATTTATAAACTGGTATTTTTCAGGGTTTTTTCGATTAGAACAAAGAACAATCCCACGATTGATATCGTGGGATTAATTCTCCGCATAAAGTGGATTGTTGCTAAGTGATAGTCACTTACCATTTTAGCTCTTGAATATTGTATTTGAGAAAAACCATATTCTTTCTTCCTTTTTAACAGCATATTTGTCAATAGTTGCGTTTCTTCTGAAGAAAATTGTTGAAATGAAGTTGCATTAAAATGTAGTGCTAACACAGCACACATTTACATATTATGTAAGACCTGACCTATTACTGTTTCAAGAGAAACAAGTGGAATGTGAATGTAACGTCTCATGAGGTGACCTTTCGCTAGTACTAATAACCCGAATTAGGTCCTTATTTAACATAACTACTGAACCAACGAAGTAGACCGATACCAATATCTTGGGAGACAACATACACAATGTAACACATATGCATATGTATAGCAAAGCTGGTCCCTACAATATGATCAAATCAACATAGTTAGGTGCTTCAAAGCGTTGACCTCAATCTCGTCTGGACCTCCCATTGAGGTATTTGTAGCCACGGGTAATCTCATTGCTTCCGTAGTCAAACGTACATACACACATAAGTGGTTAGTGTATGCCGATGTTAAGAATTGGCCTGTTAGGTTTATGTTAACGTTCTTTTTTCCACAAATTGGTAAGGACTAGAAAATGACAATGAGTTTAAAAACTTATGTAGAAGTATTTTCTGTTATAAATGTCGCGATTTGCTGAAAAAACAAGTTAGCAAGTGTGCTCAATCTCTACTTTGTTGAGCATTAATGAATGCTCATAAGAAAATACATTTTAGAAAGTTTGAGTCACCAATTGATCGTTTGACTCATTCAATCAAATCAGTTATTATAAGAATTTCTTCCGTATTTCTAAAATCACACTCGATTACATATTTGATGCAATAGTGGCAACCTTGTCAAATTATCTCCTACACTAAAATAAAAAAACGATTCATGTCATCATCCAAATAACCCAATGGTCGTATCATCTAACCTAACCAAAACGTGTGTATATTTCAGAGAAGGGCATGTACCTGGGGTCGCCGTGTGAGTTCACCTGCAACCCCAAGCTCATGCACGTGTACTGCGACCCCACCACGGCCTCCTGCCAGTGTGACCCCAAGCACCCTGTCGCCGTCGGCGTCGCACAGGGATGCGCTAAAGGTATTTTGAAAAACATTCGTTAAACTTTAGAAATTAAAACACTCTTAAAGGTAAGGCAAATTTCGTATCACAAACTCCAGATTGTGAATCAAAAGACCACGTTCTATAACCTCAATTCGACAACTCATATTTATGGGAATTACAATTCTGTTTTCTTCAATAATTTCAGAATATGAGCTACGTGAAATGAGAGAAACAATCTCACGAGTTTGGCTCAGTCTATCGATTTTACTGATTTCAATAGAACAACGTCGCTTTTCATTAACTTATAAACAAAAGCGGTTTTGACATTTGATAACACGTGTTCTAATAAAACCTTCGTAGTCCCAGGGTCACGAGTCTGCAACGGAAACCTTAAATGTTTACAGGACTGGAATAAAATCATTCCATCGGTCCCATTATTTCCATCCCCGCTTTCAAGGTCCCCCTTTTATCCCTTTTGTAGCAAGTTGCGTTGTTCGAAACTTGTGAGAACAAGTGATAGACTAAGTTTCACAAGTATATTATGTTTTGTCGGATTCTGTAGGAAAATTTACCGTTTTATTTTATCGGCATTTCACCTTTTTGTTTTGGTTAGCCAGAAGGGTAATAAAGGATCGTTTATAGATTTACAATGTCGAATGAGATTTGCACGCGGATGCCGTGATTCGAAACTAAACTTTGCTTTTTTTAGTTAATATCCGATGGGAAAACCTGAAGACATTCTGGACATCATTGAAGTCGACTAAATATTTTTTATCTATCTTCCAGCTAAGAAATTGGGTGAACAGTGCTTCTACCGCGAGACGTGTAAGGCATTCGACAGTCACGCGTCATGCGTGCAGGTCAACCACAATGCGTACTGTCAATGTGACTCTGGCTACCATCAGACCAGCCACACCAGGCCAACCACCAGGATATTTTGCACCGAAGGTACGAAAAAAAATAAAGCTACCAACATCTTGCTTATCATGGAGACTACAATATTTTTTTAAACTTTTCCTCTTTTTATCCGGAGCTGACTCAGGGAGTCAAGTATTTCGTATGATGAATGATGAATGAAATAATATTAACAAAGTACCTTCTTCTTTCAGATCTGGTGTTGCTGACGGCCGACATGCCGACGCTACTGGGCGTGGCGTCGGGTATCTTCGTGCTAGCCGGCCTGCTGTGTATGGTGCTACACCTGTACACCAAGGCGCGGTACCACCCCACGCATCTGGCCGACGCGAGGCTTACGCCACCTTGTCTGTACTCACTTAACGACACAGGTCAGTTATCCTATATAAATAAAACAACAATTATAATAAAATTAGTCAGTAAACTTATGCGACGAGGGGATTCAAAGTCCTTTAAGTTAATTAGGAGTCTCTTAGACTGGAGATGCAATGACAAATAAAATAAGCTACCGTTTACGTTCGATTAGAATTTTGAATAGAATGTGCTCGTGTTTAGTGCCAGTGATATAAGTAAGACACCTGCCACTGTAATGCACAGTAGGCTCATGTATGTAGAGTGTGCGTATGCGCTGCACGAAGATCTGTCTGCAGGAGGCACGCTGAGCGGCACGCGCGCATCGTCCCGCGCGTCATCGCGCAGCGGCTGCACGTCAGGGACGCTGGACGAGCGTGACGGCGCGGGGTCGCGGCGCGCGTCCCGGCGCGCTGGTGTGGCGGTGTCGGCGTCGCGCGCAGGTGCGGCGCGCACCGCGGCCATCTTGCTAATCTCGCGCCACCTCAAGGCCGTAAGGCGGGACGGCGGCGCGCACCCGCCTAAGTGCGCCGCCAAAGGTGATCTGGATAATGTATGCGGCGCGGTCCCATCATCTGCACGTCTCGGTGTCCGGCTACCGACGGCTCCCGCGCCCAGCCTCAATGCAGGCCTGCTCCGCTTCATCGGGACTTGAAATTTTTAAACGACTAGACTCTAATGGTACAGAGTGGAAAATTTTCAGGGCGACTATAACAGCTCTTACTGATATGATTCCACTTACAATTGAACTTACAGTTCCACACCTAGACCGAAATTTACTGACATATGGACTATAACGGGCTAATTCCTTCGCACGTGAATAACTTTGAATGTCGACAGCACATGTTCCATACTCCCGCATGAGTGCGGAGCGGTGCAGGCTGCGCATCGAGGCCGGGTCGCGGGCGCATGAGAGGTCGTCGTCGGCCGTGTCCGTTAGATGTTGCGTCTCGGTGTTAGCGACCAGGACTGACTCCAGTCTGCGACTGATCTCCCACAATCCCACCGAATATGCTGAATTTATTTCAAATATTTTACAGAAACTTTGTTATTTCTTTCTGCATAGATTTCTTTCCTATCCATGCAATGTTTGTACAACAAGTGTAGCGTACAAATTCTGTATTCACGTGCTTTCACCTCTTCTGATTTTAAAATTTTATAGGTAGTTAGAGGTGAGTTAGAGGTTTGCTGAATCATTTTAATACCTTTTCTTTCATAAAAATCATAAATCGAATTTTTTTAGTAAGGAAAGTTGATTTTATACAATGCTATTGTTATAAATAGCCATTAATTTCCTGAAACTGCAAATAAACCAATTTAGAACAGGAAATATTCAGATAAATTAGTGACCAATGGTTCATAGGGTACCTACCTCATTAGTGCATCAACAAACTGATCATCCCTACCAATTTTCCTGTTTATTTCGTATGTGGTATTGAGTATTATTCCACTAGGATATATTACTATTAAGGTCATAAAAGACTTAGAATATTTCTGCAGTTCTTTTTATTTTCTGAGTGTCGTACAACGGAACCGTCCTCAGTCTCAAACCGTGACTATAATAAGTTAACAACTGGTCAGTTGGCGTACTTTTCTCGAGCTGAATATGAGACCACACTTCCCTCTTCTCAGCATATTCGGTGGCTGACAATAGTGACGTAAGTACAGCTTACTGTGTGTGAGGCTTTACTCGTGATTGGCTGGGCTTGGTGGAAACGTGGCGCGACAGTCGCAGGATGAAGTGTTTTGGCGGCGCGAGCAAGATGGCCATGGTCCTTTCTGTCTATCTCTTTCCCACACGCCTAGTTTGTATGTGCTAACGAAACTGAAGATGAAATAACAAGGGTTGAAGATGGCAGTGTTGCCAGAATAATTAAAGTACGTATTTACAATTTGCTTCACACTACACAGTGCTGCATGGAAGTTGATCGCTTCGACCAATTCCATTTTATATTTTAACAACTAATCTCCTAATTTATTATACCACCAACATTTGACATCAATATTTTACCTATAGCAAAATTGGCAAACAACACACAAAGTTTCAGTTTAAATCAACCAGTTGAACATTAATGCAATCAGCGGCTCATGCATTGCATTCAGGCAGGAACACGCCACAGTTCACACGCCTCGAGCTGCAACTTTACCTCTATCACGACAGTCACAGTCACATTTCCTGCGATTGACATACATGTAGTACTGTTCGCAAGCACAATCGGAGGTAGGCGAAAGCTTCAGTTTCATGGGCCCAGCTCCCCTGATGACTTGACTTTCTAAGATCGTTAGAAATGTCAAAAATGTATGAGGATTTGAGGATGTCATAGAGTTTTGACATTCTGCAGTAAATGGTGTTAGAAAGTGACATCGTCTACGTGGACAGCACTGCTTTTCCGCTTCAATATCTGTGAACACCTCACTGGCTGTGCATGTCTGCTTCCTCTCACCTATTTTTGTATGGAGCCCAACATTACCTACACACTGACAATCCGTTGGTTTGGAAAAAGTGATTTTTATGATTCTACTTAAATACTTCTTTCTGGTCCTTTTGTACGGGCTGGTCCTTTTGCAATGACAAGCAAATACTTATACACAATTAATTTTCTCAAAACTTTGCCTACTTAAAACAATGCCACTACACTAATTAAATCATAAAGAGACAAAATAAAACACATATACCCATGAAAGTACATGCAGTTATATCAATACCAACAAATTAACAATACAACACTTCAATACCTACCTGCTTTGACTCCAGAAGGAATAGATAAACTTCTCTTTCCTACAAAACTAACCTAAATCTCCATCACCTAACTTTTTGGACTAAATGTTGTCTCCACAAGTATTTAGGTATATGTAAATTGTGTACATAAGTATTAGCTATTGCTATCCGCTACGCTATATTTGTTCGTATCTTCGTGTTGTTTATTGTTCTTTTGAAGAAATTCAGTCTTTAACTTGTTAATCTAAATAAAAAGTTAAGTAAACTACTTTAACCATAAGCTTTCCACATTTATCACAGCTGGACATTTCAAATAATCCTTGAAAAGAAAAGAAGCAGCAGTCGCTTCTCACGAATCACAGAAGAAACTAAAGAATGTGAAATAGTTCGCACGCATCACCTGTTCCTTTGTAACGTCAAAGAATTTCTAATGCTGTCCTTTTCTCCCAGGTTCGCGACGTCCAAGTCTAACTTCTGTGCAAAGCAGTTCATCTTCTATCCGGAGCTACAGTGCGAGACGATGGGAGAGAGAAAGAGAACAGAAGGAAAGGAGACAGATGAGCATGCGTCTCGCTCAGTTGCACGACAAGATGGCGGCAGGGCGGGAAATGCCGAAGCATGCCCCGACCCCGTCTCCTCGGTCGCCCAACAACTCTACAGATGGACTGCTACCGTCTGTATGTGAAATTAGAGAAGTACGATCATTCCTCCTGTCCTTAGTAGTGGAGAGAACCAAGTAAGATTACAGGCTAGTTCTGTTTCACGAAGTCAAATTCTTTTTTGACGAATGCAGTTCGTTAAAGAACCCCATTTCTCAATTATAGGAGGTGCTTGATAATTTTCCAGATGACCTCAATATAGCAGTAATTACTGCTAGGACCATTTTAGTCAGTACAGAACTTGGCTTTGCTGCTACTATTTTAAAAAGTATAAAAGACTTCGTGAAGTAGGACATTGACTTTTTACCATACAACAAAAAACAACCGGTAATGTTTGACCCCAGCTCCTTACAAGGATTGCACGACAACAACATTTTTGTTACCATATATGAAAATCAAGTCATGTTTTCCTTTTCACTGACATGACCCAGATTTGGTAATACAACCTTTTCTGTCTTGTAAACTTTAGCCCTTCCGTGATAGCTGATGACTACCTACATTTATTCACACTAGAAACCCCTCCCAACGTCAGTTAAATGGGTGTACCCATTAGATAAACCTAAAGTTACATAATTGTGCCACGTTCTTTCACCATTTGGGAGGTAACAGACAATCTTAACATATACTTACATTATTTCTTAAACAGATATAAACTAAAAGAACGAAAGAAAGTTTAGCATCATTCAAAACTAACAAATCTGTTCTTAACCTTGCAGTTAATTACAAATCCCGAACAACAGTTGCAAGGAGTGGACGGGCCGTGTTCCAGCTCCTCGCTTTACTGACACCAGGCCCACGGCAAGACAAGGAGGTCCCTGGACTCCTTGTCATCAGACGGCTCACCAGCCATCGCCTGGATGTAGACCGTCAAACCTCGGAGTGACTGAACTGTAACAAATTACCAAATTAGCTACCCACTAAGAAACGTTTAGTGTATGACCATCGAATGCATGTAAATAGAAGAGTGTGTAAGGAACTTAATTTGTAATGATGATGACAAAGACCCCTAATATTCCACGTCGGGCACCGTAAGCCTGCGATCCCAGTTGTTGATATTGTAAGTAAACGCTTATTGCTTATAATTAGATCGATGAGTTTCTGGTTGCGTCATATGGTGATTGGTGATGCTATATATTTCTAGATTTCAGATTCAATAGCAATATTGTTACGTTCAATAAAAAAGAACAATATTTTTCTTTATAATACGTACTTGCACCTAACCTCTTATGATAATGAGGCAGCGGAAATATGAATGTTTTAAGCATTGTGTATTTCAAAAGTGAAAAACATACTTTCAAAGGAGTTATATTCTTGTTCCTAAAATGATATAAACTATGGAACCAAGCAGCATATGACGCGTCCTCGAACATACCAGAAAATAAAAGTATAAGACTAGTTAACGATAGTGTTGTAATTTAATAAAAAAGTTGTTATAAGCGCATTTATATGATTTGTATCGGTTAACGTGAACCTCTAGATTTATAGATAAATGTACGCAATAAGTTGATGTTAAATCGAAATATATATTGATTTGTTATTTAATATTATTATGCGAGAGACGAGTGAATTGATTTATGTGTTTATATACGTAAAATAAATCACCAGATTATTTTTAAACATATCGTTTTATATTAATATGGTATCGACTGTAAGAAACGGCTATAATACTTTTTATATTATCTACTTTTACTAATGTACCTGATTGTTATTTTTTGTTTAAGTGTAAGTGAATTCAACGCATCCGTTTTGTTTGTGGACAAGAATAATAACGAGATACTAGGATTAATAAATGTCATGATGGAAGTCTGTAACATGGTTACTTCGTGAACTATCCGGCTCGAATGTAGACTAAGGAATACATATTACTAGATTTAACACACATCTACAGCTTGACCGTATAGGCTGGTACATATTTATTATTGCGATCGTAGTTACCATACGATATTGATATCAGCCGAGGAAGTCGGACCGGGTAGTTAATATTAGCCGGCTAGTTTGATAACTAACCGTGTTATCAGGTTTATTTGGTAATCGTGTACATTTAAGGTAATATAGGTATGGAGTGGTTGCGATGTGGCTCCGGCCAGGCCTTATAGTTCAGGAAACTGGAACACGGAAGTGTGCTGATTGATAAAGCATAGAAACAAAACATTTTGTACTCGTAATGTAAATAAATAGTTCGAGAAATAGTTACTTTAGTGTTTGCTTGCTGAAGTTGGTTGTCTGACACTGTCTGCTTGCTCTCAATAAATATTATTTTTATAGGATCGTATAGTTTAAGACGAAACGCACATCTCGATAAAAGTTAATAATAACAAAGTGACGTCAGCCATTCATTGTCATCCCCAACATTTTAGTAGCGTACATCAACTATCTTTGCTTAATAACTACTTTATACAAGTACGACGTAAAAACGAACACCGTGAGGACTTTTAATAAGCTTCATTTCATTAAAATCAGCTTGTAAGCGAACCACGAAAGATTTTTCGCTAAAGAATTCCGTGGTAGACCTCCTAGTATCGACCATACGATTACTTCGGATGTTTATTCTTTGAGTCTATTTTCATAATCTTCCTCATGCTGCTTACCAAGACGGTAGATAGGATAATTGAATCTAATTCCTGTTTTCTTTGAGAACCGATAAAACAACAGCTTTGTGTTGAGGTTCTATTGTTATATGAATAAAGGTGCTTATCCTTTGTATTTCCGTTTAAATCAATCGATTGTGATAGTGATCTTATACGTTAAGAATGTGGTCTTAAAACAATACACCCTTGTGATGTAGAGACTTCAAAAGAGTGGTGTCTCATCTCCTATATTTCCTCCATTTTTCGTCCGAAAGCAGACAGTGAAAGATATATTCAATAAAAAAAAATCGATCAAATTATGTAATCGTGATAATAAATTGTAGTCATTTAAAGAGTATCCCGTTGTTTTGTAATAGCACAAACTGAAGGCGGTTCTTACAAATAATTATGGATTCGACGTCGGATATGTTGTGTTATCGCTGTTTGCATTGCCAAAATAAAATGTCAACTGGAACTGTTTTGTTTTACTTCCGTAGCACCTACGTCTACTCTACACAAAGCTACCGATTGTGCCGTTATTCCTGGAAGCGAAGGGTCCCAGTATTTATTCGTCTAGAACCAGGATACGTGACTACTTAATACCTAGGTCGTAAATAGAGGCACTCCACACTAGATTTTACGCAAACTGTCACGAACTCGTTTCGCTACGCACGTCAGCGTCACTACTGGACACAGGCGAAGAGTTATTTTTTTTACCAACTTCATGCTCGCCTAATTGTTTCAACTTCAGTACCTACCTACTTATACCTATCCAGCATTCCTATTCTAAAATTATTAATAGATAGGTACATACATACATATATACATACCTACCTACATAACATCACTTCACTCCATATTACGCACTTATACTAGGTAAAATAAACATCTAAATACCAGGTGTATGTTCGGCAACATTCGGGAACCGAGGGTATTAACATAGTGAAAGGTTCTTGACTTCTTTCTACAAAATATCACAAATTATTTTTACATTAACTAAAAAAAATTTGTCATTCGCACAGAATATAGACACAGACAGTAAAAACAATACAATTTGTAAACAAACTACGAATACTGGATGTTAGCCAATAATGAAGTCCTGACAAGGGCGTCATCTAGTGACGTCACTACTTGACGCAAGTAAGAAGACCCACTGAAGCCCTTCTTCGGTTGTCCACGATACTCTAGATATAAATAGTTCAACATACTTCAGACGTAGAATGTTCTATTAATAGGAAAATTATATATCTTGTCTATTTCTATTTGAATACTGTCGCGTTGGTCCAGCGTTTTCTGTGGTCCAGTGATTAGGTACAATCGTGATTGCTGCACCGAAATAACTCACATTAATCCACCTTTGTATTATTATTATTATATAGGTTTCACAATCTGCAAAAGACTACCTACTTCTAGAACTTTCATGCATCAAGCCATAATGTAGTAGACCACACACACAAACCTACATCACAAAAATAGTAATTTTTTATTCTTAACACATTCTTAACAAACATTCGGACACACATATATGAATACAATGATATAAAATGTAAACAATCTGCTTCCGCAAAAATAATCGTCATTATTACTCATTCATTAGATAACGTGGAACTGTGAGAATCACCTTCGAGAATATCTGATAGCCTCTAGCAAATTGTCACTAAATGGGCAACTGAAATTAACGGTAGTAAATATTAACGTCCTATCATAATCCTAAATCTCTGAATCTATTCAAGTTTTTGACCGAAACTTTATTTGAGATGAAATTGGATATTAATTTTGGCCTATAATTTGTCAATATCTCGTACACTATGTCTCTCTCATTCACTCATTACCCCACCTTACTATCTCACTCATTACTATGTTACCTTAGTCCTAGGCATGGACTACTTAATTAATCGATAGTGACTGACCCCATGGATTCAATACCTACTTCTTTCTCATCAAGGTTAAGATCAATGAGTAAGTCAGCTAGACGAGCTAGTGTTTATCTGGTGCACTCAACATTTTGATTTGTTAATGTTTGCAGAGTCCAAATTCCAAACAAAAATATCTGGTTTCTGGCCAGTAGATCGTGAAATATTTGCATAAACATTAGCATAACACGTTCTACGTAGGTATCAAAGATAATTTTAGCTTATCAATGTAAAAATTGTTCATGCCTAGAACAGTGTGGAATATTAGTCAGCAGCCTGATAGTCTAATGGAACTTTCGACTAGAGATATAAAGATATAGTACTATATATATCTTTAGGTGTACTTAGAAAATACCAATGTCCATGTCCAACGTCATGCACTCATTATGATCGTTTCTTTATCGTGTCCACAAGAATGAGGTCAATTTGCGGACATTCCCGAAACGTCTTTCAGAAGTAAGTAATATCACGATCATGGACTAAGTTTTATTCTGCTCTGTATGGCTACTATTCATACCTAACTAAATATACAATCTACTCAAACAACTAGAAAGGTACTTCACATTTATTGATCCTTTATTACACGATTGGCACTATCTAGAATCTACCCATGCATTATGTTAGGATATGAAGGTAGATACTATACCTACCTACCTTTATAATGTATGAATGTATGATATATCAATCCCCGATTATGTCGTTGGTCAAAGTATGTAGGTACTAATATATACTTTATATGCTGTTTACTAAAGGGGAAGATAAAAATGTTTACTGAACAATTTCCAAATATTGTGGCCAAAATGAGGAAAGTTAAGTACCTATCGATTTATTTTTGAATACCTGCTTGCTTACTAATTTTTATCCAACCTTTCGGATGCCTCTTTTTTCGTGGACTACTTCTTATTCCTGGTTGTTTCAGAGAAACATTTTCATACCGATTTGCACCTTACCCTAACAGACAATTCCTCTTTATGCATTAAAGTAATAATGGAGACAAACGGGATATTGTGGCTTCCTCTAATACACATAATGAACGGGGAAAGGTCGTTGACATTTACGACTTCCAACCGTGACCGGTTACACAGTACCTATACCTACTTACATTGAAAATTTGTGGGCACATACTATCTACATACTATACCTACGCAGTAGTACGTAACACTGTAACAGGTACGTATTTAGTACGTAGTAGAAGTTATTTAAACCTACACGTCACCAGGGTGCTTACTCTTGAAACCAATCTCAATGTCAATGCAATTTCAATCCAATAAAATCTCAATAATGATTCAATGTCAACACTATACAACCACAATCGTAGCTGTTACAATATCATTCAGAGTACGGAATATAAAGACAAACTCAATACCATTTAGTTTATTAAATATCCGCGCAATACGGATGCAATGGGCGCTAGTGTTGCAACTCGAGAGTACGAAATTTCACAATACCAATGTCGATCGATCGGAATTGGATTCAAGAGTAAGCCCATGGACTAGCATACAACATTAACTTCTCCACGACTATCAGCCCATAAATGGACAACTTCATCCGTAAATGTGGGCGTTACTTTATTTCCGCTATTAGTGTTCGTCATACACAAAACAAAATGAATTAAAACTGAATGCATTAAATTAAAACAAAGCAAAAGTTATATTTCAAAATGTTTATTTAGGTATTAATGTATATAATTTGACCTAAACTAGAATCGAATGACTACACCGCAACACGCAGGCAGAAGTTAGGTAGGTAGGTACCTAACTAGATGAATAGCCAGTTCTTGGTAAACTGTTTCCTTGTACCTACTTATAATAGACTGGGAGATTGGTTAAGGGCGGTGTGCAAAACTCGGAAATAGGTAACTGAGTAAAATATTACATCTACCCATCAAAATGGAAAATGAGCTGTGATATGGCCAGATAGTATCGCATTATAGGTATACTACATGCACCTTAAGTAGGTACCTACCTATATCCAGAACCTACTTCCAACCTAGGAGAAGATAGCGTAGGTACCGCTCCCCAGGTTGAACTAGTGCAAAAATCTCACTAATTCTACATACCCACCTACCTATCTTCTAATTATACCTAATCACTTCTCGGTGCTATTTATAGGTCAACCGTTGCTCTTTCTCTTAAAATACCTACTATAAATAAAACACGCTTCCAGACTATTCGTCTGATATTATAATTTATACAAACTATACAAACCGTCGGAATCAGAGATTCCAGTTGTTGTTAACATAGGTACCTACATAACCAAAGCCAAGACAAATAATAGATATGCATAACACAGGTGGAATTTATAATACCTACCTACTTATTTATCACTTAAAACCATACCTACACATAAAAAAATCCCACATAACCTACATCCCTTCGTCTTACATGAGAAGTGCATAGGTGACGGTGAACATTGGTTCTAATTATAATTTATGTCGAGTGAATAGTTAAGTTGATAAGTACCTAGTGGCTAGGTTATGAGTCTGACACTCCCTCCCGTCTCAACCAGGCGGGAGCAGTCATTTGATGATTTTCCCACTAGCCACGTTTCTTTTTATTTGAAAAAAAGGGGCTAGGTAGATACTTAGGCACCTAGTTCTCTTCTACTGCTGTTGATAGGTAATAATAGAATCAATCGTAAGAATGGTAGGTTAGAAGGAATATAATTTGTATCGATGATTTACAATGAGAATAATGTAGCTTATCGATAACCTAAATAGGTAGGTACTAGTAACATTGGCCTACACCTGCAAATCAAGGAAAGCTTTGCTTGTCTGATCCTAAAATATTACGTACCTATCATACTTTGTTATATATATAACATCCATGATCATACATCACATCAACCTATTCACTTACCTATCTAATCAGTGACTAGTGGAACAGATTCCGCGGGTTCGAAATGCGTGAGAATAAGGTCCTAGGTCCTAAATTTTAAGTCAACAAATAAAACATTCAAATGAGTTTCAATCATTTATTGGAGACACTGTACTGTAGTTGAATACTGCAACATCAGTAAAAGCATGCTGTGAATTGTTGGAATGTTTGTTTAGTCTACCTCTTCGATGGTAGGTCCGGCACCGCCACCGGGAGCCGCGCCTCCGGCACCGGGTGCGCCGCCAGGGAATCCAGGCATGCCTCCAGGCATACCGCCAGGCATACCACCCGCTCCCTGGTACATCTTGGTAATGATAGGATTGCAGATACCTTCTAATTCCTTTTGCTTGTGCTCATATTCCTCCTTGTCAGCCAGCTGGTTGGAGTCGAGCCACTTGATAGTGTCGTTGCATTTGTCCAGGATTGTCTGCTTGTCGGAGTCTGAGATTTTGTCCTTGAGCTTCTCGTCCTCCATGGTGGACTTCATGTTGAAGCAGTAAGATTCCAAGGCATTCTTAGCCTGAATGGTCTCCTTCTGCTTCTCGTCTTCAGTCCTGTATTTCTCGGCTTCGTTAACCATACGCTCAATCTCCTCCTTTGAAAGACGGCCCTTGTCGTTGGTAATGGTAATCTTGTTCTCCTTGTTGGTAGACTTCTCGACGGCAGATACGTTAAGGATACCGTTAGCATCGATGTCGAAGGTGACCTCGATTTGAGGCACGCCACGCGGCGCAGGGGGGATACCAGTCAGCTCGAATTTACCGAGCAAGTTGTTATCCTTGGTCATTGCACGCTCGCCCTCGAATACCTGGATGAGTACTCCGGGTTGGTTGTCTGAGTAGGTTGTGAAAGTCTGAGTTTGCTTGGTCGGAATAGTAGTGTTGCGCTTGATGAGAGTGGTCATGACACCACCAGCGGTTTCGATACCGAGAGACAGCGGCGTCACGTCAAGCAGCAACAGATCCTGGACCTCCTCAGACTTGTCACCGTGCAAAATGGCGGCCTGTACAGCGGCACCGTATGCTACAGCCTCGTCGGGGTTAATGGATTTGTTAAGCTCCTTTCCATTGAAGAAGTCTTGAAGAAGCTTCTGCACCTTGGGAATACGAGTAGAACCACCTACAAGTACGATGTCGTGGATTTGTGACTTGTCCATCTTCGCGTCACGAAGCGACTTCTCAACAGGCTCCATGGTGGACCTGAACAGATCAGCGTTCAGTTCCTCGAAACGAGCTCTGGTGATGGATGTGTAGAAATCAATACCCTCAAAGAGAGAATCGATTTCAATGCTAGCCTGTGTAGATGAAGAGAGCGTTCTCTTCGCCCTTTCACAAGCAGTACGCAATCGTCGAAGAGCCCTCTTGTTTGTGGCGAGGTCCTTCTTGTACTTCCTCTTGAACTCCTGCACGAAGTGGTTCACCATACGGTTGTCGAAGTCCTCTCCTCCCAAGTGAGTGTCACCGGCAGTGGATTTTACTTCGAAGATACCATCCTCGATGGTCAGAATGGACACATCGAAGGTACCGCCACCGAGATCGAAAATCAAAACGTTACGTTCTCCACTACCCTTCTTGTCAAGGCCGTACGCAATCGCAGCAGCAGTCGGTTCATTGATAATACGGAGAACGTTCAAGCCAGAGATGGTACCCGCATCTTTTGTGGCTTGCCTTTGTGAGTCGTTGAAGTACGCTGGAACCGTAATAACTGCATTCTGCACCGTTTTGCCAAGGTAGGCCTCGGCTGTTTCCTTCATTTTTGTGAGCACCATTGAGCTAACTTCTTCAGGGAAGAAAGTTTTATCTTCACCCTTGTATGAGACCTTGATCTTTGGCTTGCCACCATCACTGACAACCTCGAAAGGCCAGTGTTTCATATCTGCTTGTACTGTGGCATCTTCGAATTTGCGGCCGATGAGACGTTTAGCATCTGTAACAAACAAATACATTTGTTGAAATTTTCGTTTGTGTTAAAAGTACATTTAATACTTTTTTTATTTCCTCAGAATACTTTTATCATTCAATATGTTCAGAGACTCTAGTCTAGTATATTGGATATCATCATGAAAACCTAACAACTTGTGTTAATGTGTAATATACACAACTAAGTAAGTCTAAGTAACCTTGTTCTTGTGTAATCCATTGACCTTTCTAGAGTTTTACAGCAATAGATGACTCATCTTGTAGGCATAGACGTAAAAATGATTTTATTACCCCATAATAAAATTAGAAAATGACGAAATTATTTACAGCTATGTCAAAGTTAGTCATAAAGACTGATAATATATGATTAGGATTATAAATATTGAGTCATCATTGCTCCCATTATCACTGAAACCGTCAGCTTATGGTTTGTTGTATAGGCTTTAATTTACCGATTTAAATAAGTCATAACTATATTTAACCAATTACAGGTAAAATTTATACATTGGGTAACGTGGAGCGGATAATAGTTTCATATCATTAGTGCATCCCCAGGTACGTAGTTGAATGAACTAGGTCCTGAGTATTGATCGCGCGACCTATTTCTTTCTGTAAATAGGATGCTACAATCAACCGCCCGGAAAACCGCAAATCATTCCGTGGTATTATGAGAACTTATCATACATTATTCACGTGTTGACAATATGATGATTACGCTATCGCTTCCTGGTTGAGTATGTTCAAGAAATGCCGGTTTGCCTACACGAACTTCGTTAGCTTCTCCCAGTTCCCCAAACATCATGAAGGGTCGATGCAAGGTTAAATTTGATGTTGATACAAGAAAAAACTCGAAACAACAGCAGTGACTAGACACTTACCGAAGATTGTGTTGTTGGGGTTCATCGCCACCTGGTTCTTGGCGGCATCACCGATGAGACGCTCGGTGTCTGTGAATGCGACATATGAGGGCGTGGTCCTGTTGCCCTGGTCGTTGGCGATGATCTCCACCTTACCATGCTGGAAAACTCCCACGCATGAGTATGTGGTACCCAAGTCGATACCTACAGCTGGTGCTTTGGCTGCCATCTGTAACAATAAATCACAATGTTCAATGAAATAAGTGTCTACACAACTAATTTTTGCATTCGAATACCTACATAGGCTATTATTCATCAGAGAAGCCGGACATAAGAGGTTATACGCCGCCATTTTGTACGATGTAACGTTAAATCTAGAATTATCACGTGGGAAAACCGCCGAATACATTAAACGGTAAATCATGTACGAGTTCCTAAATAACGTTCTTTCAGAAGTGTTGAATCATTACAACTAGTACAAAGCAGAATCTGCAACGGCGGCGGCCATTACACGAAAAAATCAATAACTACTATAGAACAGCAGAACGTTCCAGAACAAATCGCGAAAAAATTAGAAACTACGGATGCACAGTAATCGATATCATACTAAAATCATTATTATGGAACACTGGAAACTTAACACCTGCTTTAGTTACCACGTGGTTCTTTCAAGATGAACAAAGACGGCTAATTCAACTCACGTGCCAAACTATTACTTTTTATATTCACTAAAATCATTACCTTGTGATAACGTGGATTATACAATTTAATTCAGAATTCACATAACTATACAACAAAAATTATAAAGACTTCCCGCCGCCGCAAAGTCTCATAGCAACACAAAGAATTTGCAAAATTATAAAGAAAATTAATAATATAAGTTTAAACTATTCCAATAAATAAAATATAGTAAAATAGTAAATTGTGCACTTACTTTTTAGATTTTAATGTAAAACTATCTCAGTCGTTGACTCTTGTAGAGTAAACTCAGCAAAGGTGCGCGATTGACGGCTTCTTTTCACGAAATAATATGGCGACGGAATTTCACCGCAGAGTTTATAAGAGCGGGGATGCGTCATTCGACGTCACTCGGTTGTTCTGGAATATTCCTTGGGTCAACCAATAGAAATCGCTTGCTCCCTGCGTGCTATTTCCTGATTGGTTAGAAATTGACATCTGCAGCACTTTTTTGAACATGGCGTAGTTGGTAGTGATGTGCAATAACGGGTGTGGTCCCACTTATCGATAAAATATTTTCTGGGAGTTCAAACTTAAAATGGAACACATTTGGTATTGAGAATGTGGTCTTTATTTACAATGGATATATTATATAACTATAACTTTAAATTAACATTATTATAATTTTAGTAAAATTGTAATTTTATTATAATTAGTCAATGACTACTAAAAAACAATATAATAGTAAAATCTTAATACATAGATTGTTTTCTTAAAAAAATATTTGCTAACCACTTATTGCTTATTTAAAAGTAGTTTTTTGTAAACACTTTTTAAGTCAGGCTGAAAATAATACTTACAGAAAATTGCAGTTTTTTAAATAAATTTAAGAGAAGAATAGTAGTGTCTTAAAAATAACGGTAAATACTGTCTGTCAACTGGCTGGGTGGCATGGCTTTTATCAAGCATAACCTTATCAGATATGTCAGAGACGTGGTCAAACTTATTTTTTAATAATGTTTAACTATTCCTATATTTTACTAATCAAGACACTACGGTTTTAGTAAGTTTTAATTTAAAAATTGTTGTTTTATAGTTCTAGTGGGACAAATCAAATTATCGAATTCAACGGATTATGTCCAAATATTCAAACGCCACTCAATTTTAAGACACGCTTAAATATTTAAGCATTAATATTACAATTGCCTGTCATATGACAGAGATATTTAAGTACAACTTAAAATTGAGTTTTAATTTTCAGGCGTTTACTCACGTAACTGTTTGACGAAGAACTCGACTAGTATCAAGCCTCACTCTGGGATCACATTCATAAGAGAATTATGTGCATAAGCCGGTAAATATAATAGGTGATTGCAGAAAATTAAAATATATTTTATTTTTGAAAGTATTTAATAATACACTCGTTATCGATATTATTAATTTAGTTTTCCAACACTAACTACTATACTAGCGCTACTTAAAATCGGCGGTAAATTTAAATTTGTCATTATGTTTTCGAGTAATTAATATATTTCATTTAATGGGAAACAGGCGATACTAGATAACTTATAATAACACCTTTCAACGAAATTACATTTTAAGTACAACGACTTTAAGTACTTTCCACAGAAATTAAAACGCACTGGGTAAGTTTGAAGGTACTAAACGGAATTTGCAATACTGCCCTCTGTTGCGTAACATGAAAATTATTTTTTCTAGAATGTACACGAAGCAGGAAACTAGAAAATATTCGTTATTCTATAGAGATATTATGTTCATTATTCTATAGAGAAATAATTATGCTCGTTATTCTACGGAGATATTAATGTTCGTTATTCTATAGAGATATGGTTTTAAGTGCCTATATTATACTTAATTCGCATAGTTTTATAATTGTATAACATTACGTCTTTTGACTTCGAAGGGGTAGGCAGAGGTGCACATTCCAGCACCTAATGCTACAGTAAGTGCCTACAATGTGACACCCCCTTTTACTATTAATTATGCGCCCCATGTAATAGGAGGTGAGCCTATTGCCATATACCGGGCCTAATTCCAGACTCTGTGCTACTAGTGAGATTTTTTTGTAAATCCCTGTAATACTTTGCCCGACCGTAGTCGTAGTAGTACCAGGGACATGAATAACTGTCTTGGTTCCCGCAAAGAAGTGTATCAGAAGATATTATAAAAAAAAAACACGACAAACGTCCGGGTCACCACAACCAATCAAACTTTACTTGCTAGTACGTAAAAACAGGGTATCCTAACACCCTATAATTTATTAAATATACATTATTTCCAATAAAAACAAACAAGTTATAATTTTCAGTATTTATTATAAAACAGTCCAATACAATACAAATGAATAATAAATAGAACATTCCTAATCCTACACAACCACCTAGATTCAATTCTTATTTCAGAATTTCCAGATTCATATAGAAAGCATTTTGTGCTATACCTATTATGTACATAAAATACTAATAGTTTTTGTACAGATGACTCACAATGAATTGGCAAAAAAAATATGATTAAGAATGAAGTCGATCAGTAAGAATGTTGCATCAGGCTTAAATGGCCACAACAGTAAGCTTGCATTAAGCACCTTTATTTCAGTTATAGCTCAAAAGAGTAGGTATCACTACTGTAGGAAAACCAAAATCAAGGGGTTCACACACATTAAAACAAGAATAACACAATACATGCCCCATTGCCATTACACACTACAATACTTAAGTAGTATTGTGCAACAAAATCTGAACAAAAAGTATTATACACAATGTAAATGAAATCGTTGAGATCTTAAAACAACTTCTCATTAGATATCTGTGTCAAGGACTTTCTATTGTAGTATTGAAGTTTTTATACTCTTTGGACATTACATAACAAATTATAGACAAACTGTATAAATAAATAATTGATGATTTCTTACTCTGTCACCATATTTACATTTCTTTCATGTCATTTTGTATCTTTATCTACGTAATGATTAATCTTTTCACAATACAGATTAAAGGTTCACTTTAATACGTTTAGTAACAGGAAATATCATTCAATCTTACAAGTTACAACCAATCTTTTTTACTCGCACAAAATAATTCAACTTGTGACTAGAACTCTAATGGCTACAGAGTCTGTATATCACGAGATTCTGAAATAGGTTTGGTAGGCGAGGCCAAGAGACGTTGTGAGGAACCAGGCGAAGCAGCACCACCACGTCGCGAAGCCGAACACGCCTCGATACACGTCTACTGTGAACACCTGGGGATGGAACACATCTCATTTATTACATGACTTAAAAAACTAGTTCTCAAGAAAAGGTTGAATGTGGTTAACAAAGAAAATGAAATAATAAATTAATGTTAGTACTCTTCTGGATCGAACTAGCCACAACCTCCCAAAACCGGTGCCTTCTAAGCCAGGATCTACAGTAAATACAATACAATCACGAAACCACCGAAACAATGTCTAGGATCCCGGAACTAAATAAATCCGAAGTTATTTGATTTATTTGGAATATTCTTGAAGTACTGAAGCTTTCTTCCCAATATCTTCTTAGCTTCCTTCCCTTCCTCCCTTCCCAATATCCCCCCAATCCCCAACAATCCTCAAATTCCTAGTCCTCAAAAGGCCGGTAACACACTTATAAAGCCCCTGGTGTTTCGGGTGTCCATGGGCGACGTCGATTGCTTACCACCAGATGCTCCGTCTGCTCGTTTAGCGGCTTACAACATAATTATACCCTTCAACTAAATATTTTTCGTTTCAACTAACCATTTTCAAATTCTCCCAAGCAAGCTGGAACTGTTCAATACCATCTCCTTCTACTATACTGTCAGTCACTGTTGGTGTTTTATCATCCATGGTACAGACTTCTTGGCTTTCATAGAAGAGTCCGGTCCATGTGTACCCACCGAGGGTCTTGTACATCAGAGCCATGTACAGACACATAATGATAGGACAGATGTACTGGAGGGCTACTACACATAGGTAGTAGAATACTGATGCAATCTGCAAAAAGATATTTTAACTTAAAATACGACATCAAATTGTGTAAAACTAATAGGTATCGAAAAAAAAATGGGATACAAAAGATAATGTCGTAATATAAATCGAGAGAAGTTGTTTGGACAGAATCGATGAATGAATGAACCAAACAATAATGAACACAGAGTTCTTATAAGGGTAATGTCAGTAGCGTCTGCTCAATGATACATGCAACATAGAGCTGAGAAGTGCCACTAATCACTATCTTTAACATTATTGCCTGTTTCCTAGTGATTCGTAAAAAGCAAAAAAATTATGACAGTCATTATTTTTCGAATATTAAGTTTGAAATCTCCAATGTGCATTGAGGAAGCGCGTTGTTTAATGCTCAAACCTTCTCTGTGTGAGAAGAGGCGTTTGATCAGCAGTTAGCATTTATAGGCTGTTGATGATGACAATGAGGATTATGAATGAATTTTTAGATCCTTCTACTTACTTTCTTCTGCAGGTCAATGTTAGTAATTCGTCCAGCTTCTTTCTTCTGCACATCTAGACGACGTTGTGCCATGTCTAGGTAAGCTTGCAACTGACGCGGCATCAGCGCTAGCCGGATAACGATTGTGCTCGCCACTAGCATTATACGCATCGTGTCAAACGCGTCCGATGTCATTCTGCAAAGAGGTTGAAGAATTATTCTACTTGTAAATTTATTTCAGAGGTTTTTTCTTTCAATTGCCCATGTTAATGGCAGAAGCAGTGGTGTTGTTCTAGAGATAACTGCATTATGAAGCTGAAGAGTAAAAAAAGTCAGACTACACCTAACGGGAGCCAAGCATAGAGTAATACTGCACGACTATAGCTAGTGTGAAATAGAACTTACAATGGTTTCTCCATCCCACTGAACACTCTGACCGTAAGGTAATGCCTTGTAATGGGACGCACCCACAACAGTACTAACACAAATGGCATCGCAAAATTAAAGTTGAGCAGTAGTGATTTCATTTTATTATCTCCATAGTATCTGGAATTAAAAAATTGAGCAATGATTACTTATTGAGATAGTTAGACTGAATAAATAAATGAAATACAGCGACCTACTTTAATTGTAAACTTACCTAAGTGAGTCCCAATGCATCCTGGCGACTCTGAGTCCAGGGAATGTGAATAAAGTCCCAATAATAGCTGCCCACACAGCAAAGAAAAATTTTAATATTAACTTTGAGGCTGGACCCCTGAAAATAGACATAAATGAATTTTAATAATCAAATCATTACACATTGCTTGAGAGTCTGTTAGTTATGAAGAACATATTTTTTTCAAGCATACAGTGCTTTTACTAAAATTTACTAAAATAACTGAATTCAATTTTGCAAGTCACCATAGGTTAGGCCATTTTATTTTGATTTTATTTAATCAGACCATTAGCATATAGTTTTCCAGTTATATAACAAATAACATCAGAAACTTACACAGAGGACAAGCCTTGGTTTTCAAGGAACTTTGAGGCATTTTCATAGAAACTGTCATAAGCAGGGTCTACTCCCACTTCAAGGTTGGCATCACTGACGATGAGCACCATCATAGCAACCAGCAGGAACACACAGAAGGCCACTATGCAGGTGGAACGCTCACCGATGGACTCATCACTCGTAAAGTACTGCTTTGTCAAGCTTAGTAAGATTTTACTGCATTGTTAGTTAAGGAATTTTTAATATTTAGGTAGCAGGTTACATATAGACACCATATCGATATGATAAACAGAAAATGTACATATGTGAAATAATTAGTATCAGAGTATAGTTAATTAAAAATGAACAGGACTCTTCATCAAATCATCAGATAAAATATCATAATGAATCAAGCCTTTATGCTCTCTTTTTTGTCACCCCATAGATTGAGGATGATAGAATAATTTGTAAAGGATACAAAGAGAACAGCACGACTAGAAGGCACCATACCATACTCAAGTTGAACTCATCCTTGAGTGGGAATACTGATGTATACACCTGGAAGTTGAATTGATTAAGTGTTACATTAAAATAACCCTTACAGTTAACATGATAAAGTCCTAATTGTAGTAGCTCATAAATACTAGTAATAGAACAAGTATTAGACCAAATTAACACTTACCTCTGACATAAGATACACTATGGCTGTGTACAGTGAAAAATCTACAATCCACACATACTCAGTATAAAACCTCAAGTGTACCACATCCAAAGGAGTCACGGGGGCCGTCTCCAGCTGTATATCCAGACTTCGAGGAACATGGAAAGTCTCCGGCTTCCCATTCGACTCATGTTTACCTCCTTTCTTACCCTTCGAAGATTCTTTTGGAACTCCTGCCAAACTCTTTAACTCACTGTTTGTAGGATACAAATATCTGTATAACCTTTGTGAGCATAGTAACCATCTTGCGAACGAGTAACTTCCCAACTTTTGTATCACTGATACCATAATCAGTGTGATAACTAATTGAGCGCCGAGCAGTGCCTGCAATGTAAATAAAATGCAATGATTCACACAGCCGTGCACAGAATCTATCTTTAGACGTATAAATTAAGTTTACACACCATTTCGTCTGGATTTTCATTCACATTTATGTCTATTCATAGTCTAAATTCGCTAAATTATTTTCGTTTCAAGCTAAATCCATAACCTCAATTCTTTCCTCCCACACATTCCTAAACGAATAATTTAAAAAGTGTAGTATTGAAGTTAAAAAAATATATCAGTTGACGTAATAACTGGGCTCAACCCATGAGAAAAGAAGAGATGCAGAATAAAAACATTGCTAACTAACTGTCAAAGCTAGGTATTTCTAATTTAGTTGGTTATTATTAAACATTTTTAGGGTATCTTCCAGTTTCCTTTGACTTTCCTGAATTTTTTTTGAAGTATATTTTTATAATTGTGACATATTTTTTTGGAAAAATGGAGTATTAAAGAGACTACTATTACGTTGAAAATTCAATTTAATTTGTTGTTTTTGTTCAAAGCATACTTCATAAATATACTCCGTAACGTCAAAAAGCAAATCAATGGTATGAAAGAGATAAATAAATTGTTGAAAAGAGAAAGCAATAATCAATGTTACCACGTAAAACCGGATTCCCATATATGAAGTAAAAACATAACAACCTTATTTTATATAGTTACATTACATACAAAAGTCGATAAAATCTTATATGTTAACTCTGGATATAATTTTGTCCGACAAAGTAAGGAATATTATACACAATTTACGACAAAAAAAATCTAAAGTATACATTTGTTAATGAATCAAGTTTCCAAAGAAAAATAGTATTATGTAGGTTAATTCAAACAATAAAACAACAATGCGAACTAAGTTTTGAGGACACGAGATATTAGTTGTTCGTATAGGTCTACAAAAGTTAGGTGACGTCATTCCTATTTAGTAACGTATGGGAATGGGAAAGTAAAATTTTCGCCGTGTATCCCCAAACAAGACCGTGTTGCGCACGATGAGTAATGTTCACTTGAAAGTTATTCATATCGATTGATTTGTCTCCACTAGTAATTTGGTTTCGTCGCTGCCGAAGTCTGCTCGCAGACTATTGCGACGGGGCCTTTTTCTGAAGTTGGATAATTTTTATTTTGTGTTGTGTGCTGCAATAAACCGTGAAAGATGGGGTCGTTGTTTAGGAGTGAAGAAATGACATTATGTCAACTTTTCCTGCAGAGCGAAGCCGCGTATGCATGCGTGTCTGAACTCGGGGAGCTGGGTCTCGTGCAGTTCCGAGATGTGAGTAGTGCCATGTGGACCATGTTATACGCCCCTTTTCTCTAATATTATTGTAAGACAATAGACAATGTATTGTTTCGATAAAGAAAACTGTGACCTCGTTTCGCGTCAGATCGTGTTTCGTGCCCTGATTTCATGATAATAACGATTTTAGGTGTACTTATTACGAGGATAACAGCATACTATTGTATAATAATCTACATCTATTACTGTCTTCTCTCAGCCCATCTGGTAATTTTAACATGGGCATAGATGTTTGCCAATTAATATTAAATTCTGTTAATGTTTTTATCTAACAAGAGCATCCTGTTACTGTGGGTATGTGTCTAGTTATGTGTCACATTCTCTGTTATTGGTTTGTAATAGGAATTTACAAAACAATAGCTTGGCTTGGTTGATGAAAGTTTATTGTTGACAGAGTATTCCTTAGTGGGAATGTTGGAGCCTCTTGTTGGAATACAATACTACAACTACAACATACTTGAAGACAAAAGTCATACAGTACTTTGAATTAGTTTCATGAATACTTAGTTATTAGAAAGGTCTGTCTACTTACAAGTTAGAGAAAAGAGAAAAGTTTTATTTGTCTATGTTTTTTAGTTACTTAAACTGTCAAACACCAAGCGGTCACCGGTGACCGCAACCTATTGTTCTTTAATTGTGTCTATAAAACCGGTACTCGACGAGTTAATAGTTCAATGACCTTAACATTTTTAACTTATTATCTGTCTTACCATCATCATATAAAACATCCTTACACACTTTTCTTTACATTGTCCCCTATTACAATAGGGTGGTACTAGTATAGATTTGCAGAATGTAACCATCATGTGACCAGACGCTTGTGGAATTGTTAATCTGTCTTATTTAATGAATGAAAACTGGTTCCATATTGATTTGATTCCAAGATTGGGATTATATTGCTTATATTTCCAAGTCATAACATAAAAAGTCCTATGCAGGTTGTCTTGTACATCATAATAACTCTATGTTCTTTGTTACTATATATTTCCAGCCAGTATTTATATTTCAAAAAAATTACTTCTTACTTAAATTCCAATTGTTCATTCAGCCTATTGAACATTAGTGCCAACCTAACATTACAAATAAAAAAAAATCATGTGATTGATTAAAAAAATGTGATTGGAATTAGTTATATAAGTTTGTTCAAATTAATTACTTCACAATCAATGATAAAAAGGAATTATTTCTGATAAGTTTACACACACCTAAAACTGAACTTTAATCTTATCACTAGTGTAGGTAATTTAGAAAAAATATCTTGAATGTGTATTTGGAAATAGTTAGTAGGACTTTTCATTGAAGTCTCATCTGCCAGTATATGAGACTCAATAGAAATTATATTGTTTCCTTCTTACATCTTCATTCTATAACACCAAAGACTAAAGTTTCATCAAGTCATTTATTTATTTATTTATTATTGTGATGTTAACACGGCTTTACACCAATTACATTAACACACATACAAAGAGAAATCAAAGAGAATCAAACGGTTACAATAACAGAAAAAGAAGAAAAAAAATGAAACATAAAATAAACGTCACATTAAAAAAAATACAATTAAAATTCAATTAAAAAATATAAAGAAAAATCAGACAATTGCAATAGTAAATGACAAAAAAGAAATATCACAGTAAAATGAAAACAAAACATTTAATTATACAATTCAACACAGACTTCAGAGACTTCCACAAAAACTGAGACAAACCTTTTTAATAGCTTTAAGCTCGTCCATGAATAGGTCACAGTCAGGGTAGGCTTCCACGAGGCTATTGAGCGCGGACAGGATGCGAGGAATGGGGGATGATGCCCGGGCCACGGTACGACTTGCGGGCACGGATAGTAGACGGTGCCTCCAGTCATTGTTTATGGGTGGCAAAATTTACCACAAGTTTTGAATATAGAAACTTCATTAAACTGTCAAACACCAAGCGGTCACCGGTGACCGCAACCTATTGTTCTTTAATTGTGTCTATAAATACGGTACTCGACGAGTTAACTAACTAATGATACAATATAGTTATTGTTCAAACAACCCTGATTGTGGTGTAATTAAAATAAATGATTTGACTTTGAATTTTAAATTGGCAAATTAAGAATTATCAAAAATAACTGTAGAATTATATTTACATTTGATAAGTTACCCCTGTGATAAAATTTGACTGGCATAGGAAAAATCTGCCCTTATTTAGGCAGTTACATGACATAATAAATCATCATTTTCATTAAAATTATGATTTTAAACATTCTTTTTTTTCTGTAATAGTTATTATGGGGAACTGTAGGATGATTTTATTACATTAATTAATAACAGTATTGTAAACTATAAAATTTAATAGATAGTGATGGTTTCCAGTATCAGGTTATTACCCAGGCCATATGATTCATAATGAACAATGAACACAGCCACAAGATATTAGTTACCTATTGTTTGAATCTATTTATTTTATTGTTTGACCAACCTTTGTTGTTATAAATTGGTAACAGAATAACTGTACTGTACATATAATTATAAAGTACCTATATAGTAAGAGGATATTGCAGTCCTGCAAAAGGTTAGTGCCCTTCCTGCAGATCAATATTAGATGTTTAAATTAAGTTAAATGAAATGTAAGAAAATGGTATAAATAACTAAAAGAAAGTACTAAAAACTACCTTTTGTATAAAATATAGTTTCTCTTTCAATAAATATATTGTAGGTGACTACATAATATAGTTAGCGATTTGCATGCACCACGGCGCGTGCGCCATTTGTACCCTGGCGCATCGATACCGCGTTGCGGAACGTCGTAACTCTACGTAACTGTTGGTAGACCAATGCCAACATATTGTATTATGACCTATTTCTTGAAGTTATTACATTGCTTGTAGAATATTTGAAATAAACACACAGTCCCCTGTTTATCTTCCATAGTTTAGGTAGGTAGAAGTAGGTACAGCTACGAAAATCGTTCTTTCGAAAGTAGACACAAATGGCTATCTACTGATTTTAATGATCGAATGATAAGGTTCTTTTTTGAGAAGACGATCAAAGAATCGTTGAGATAACCTGCCCAAAATGCTCCAGAAACATGTCTGAGTCTCAGTATAACAGCATAATCTACTTACCTACCTAATTAACATAACATTTTAGCCATCAGATCTCCAATCTCCATATTGTCTGGGGTCATATGACCACCTCTTAAAATTCAATGCAACAATATTCAGTGTTCTTAAGCAGCATGTTTTCATCAGCCTATTGTTATAAACACAATGTCTTCTATTTTAAATAACATCGTACATTTTTCATTGAAGCTTTGTATTGTTTCTCGACATAACAGTTTGACCTTCATCTTAAGAAAATTCATAGAATTGATCGTGAAAATTCCTTGTGTATTCCTTTGTTAATTACGGAGAGATGCAATCGCCTGAATGCCAATGATTTTATTTATTATTAATTTAGTCTCGTATCCAGATTGTATCTACTTGTACGTAAATTGTCATAAAACTAGTTACCTATTCGATCAACAATGAAACAGCAAAGGTATAAAATATGGTGGTACAGCATAGCCATAAAGCAGACTAACTTTACAACCATCTTTATGATAAGCGTCAGTTACTAGGCTTGCCGTCTACGTACATAGTTTTATGGTCACCCCGCATGGGTCGATATTCTATTGACAGTAGTCGTTGAGGGGAATTAAATAATATTTATTGGCAAATATAGATAGCCATGCCACTTGAATCTACTGATATTGCTGACAAACAAAACGCTAAGGATAAATGCAAAAGACTGCAGACGGAATCGAACGCGCACGGCAGCGAAACCATGCAAATTACTTAGTCTAATCATTGAGTTTTAAATTTAAGTACCATTCTTTTAAAACAAAATAAAATTTTGTATTCTTTTGTCCTCTAGTTAAACCCAGACGTGAACGCTTTCCAACGCAAGTTCGTCAATGAAGTACGTCGTTGTGATGAGATGGAGCGAAAGCTCCGATACTTGGAGAAGGAGATCCGTCGTGATGGAATCCCCATGCTCGAGATCCCGGGCGAATGCCCTGAGGCCCCACAACCGAGGGAGATGATCGATCTTGAGGTAAACTCTTCACTTATCCATGACCGTCAAATATGACTAACTAACTGTCGCGTCAGCTCAATGTAAATATTTTGAATATTTCTCTCGTAGGCTACCTTCGAAAAGTTGGAGAATGAACTCCGTGAGGTCAACCAGAACGCCGAAGCTCTGAAGAGAAACTATCTTGAGCTCACAGAACTCAAGCACATTCTTAGAAAAACACAAGTTTTCTTTGACGAGGTAAGTTTCTACAAGTACATAGAGCTCACGAATACAACCACCAAGGTCTGCCTTCCAATAAATTCACAAAATTATAAATCTGTTAACGTGCCTAGTATCAAGTATGTATCATCGTAATTAGTAGCTGCCTCGTCAATATATCTCTAATGATAAAATGCCTCACTGCTAATGTCCTCGTGATGTTTTACGCAAAATGTGTAATGTCGATTAATTATCAACGTAATCTTATAGTATGTTAGTTAATTACGTCAGATGTCATTATATTGCAGTCATTCTTTATACTAAGTCAATATAGACTGGCATTGTAATTACAGATACTAAGTCTGTGAAGGGAATGTCGTCAATAGATTCGTGTTAATCAATTAGATAGAGTTCAGCTTGAAAAACACAATAGCAGAGGTATGAGGCCGATACAAAATCATGCTGTTGTAGAAAAAAACTAGCTCCACGTTCAACATGTCTCAGTCGGCCTAGTTTATTTTACCATCGTCTATTATTTATTGATTTCCCTTTATTATGATTTGAATCAGTGTCTCATTCAGTATTATTATTTTATTTTATTTTATTAACTTTAAGCACAATAATAACAGTATCAAATACTAATTTATGTTCAACACTTTCAATTCTTAGTTAACATTTCCTTAAATGAAGGTCGTGGGTCCTAATTTACTTATTTATATTTTATAAAATTATTTTATCCTTATGTATCCGACAAAGTGGGCTTCAAAAACGACGAGCTTATGAATTGAAACGTTTAGATTCGGTTATATTGTTTGAAATAATGACGTCGTATTGTCAATGTCACATTTTTGTACGTCTATTGTCGTCTGTTGATTGATCGCACGCATACATTACTGTCTGCATTGATTGTTCTCGTGCTAGGGTACATGAACGATTTCTAATCTCAGTCAAACTCCAACGTATCCGCCGCACTATCACAAGATGATTTCATGCCCACAAATTAAATCCTTCACGCGCATAATCGTACTAAATGTGACATTGACATTGACGTGTGTCTGACCTTGGCGCCATATTGGCGTGTGTGTGCACAAGATGGCGGACCCGTCGCGCGAGGAGGAACAAGTGACCCTACTAGGGGAGGAGGGGCTCATGGCGGGCGGGCAAGCTCTCAAGCTGGGGTATGCTCAGATTGATTTCGATGCGCTCGTTGGATCGTTTTGATTTCCATTTTTGTCGATGGAAATCAAAGCACAAACATGAGCGTTATTATTTTTACAGCGCTTGTACTGTGACGCTGATTCTGGAGTCTACCGATCACCACTCAGGCAAGCATTGGAGTCGGCCGGTTTATAGTATATCATCAACATAACACCTCTCTTTGACTTCTTTGTGTGATGGAATGATAGCTTAGTGTAGCACCGCAACCAGCCCGGCCCAGACCGTGTCAGTCTACTAAAGCTTAGTCAAGAACTCCTCACTCCCTTACCGAGCGTGCTAACCAATTGCTGCCTGAGTGAGATTTTAATTTTTATTTGAACTAACAGTGTTTCCGACATGATTTATTTTTGAAGTCCATCTACGAACGTTTCCAGCTATCGGAGTCGACAAGGTTTACAAAATACATAGTTTCTTTCCGTTATCATGAAGTCATCCACGCTTTCTGTACTTGTCATTTTATGCATGCCATTATGATTTTATATGTTCATGTCATAAGTAAGTAGATCACGAACGTGTCAGAGTTATAGAGTATATATTTTTAGTTTATTATAAACGACACTGTAATTTGAACACAATTCGAAGTAGATACAAACTAACAATGCATATGAAGCTTTATACAAATTGTTGGTAGCTAGGTAATTACCAGCACTCCACCGCGTAGTACGAGGTGATTGCAGTGACTCGATGGCGCTACTTTTTTACTACAACAGGCAAGGAAACGTGTGCATCGTGTGGTGTAAATGTCGTACCTATCGCGTTCATTGTGACGTCATATGGGCAATGTTTGTCTACATGTTTATGTTTGTCCTCCGTGTAGCACGAGGGTGGTGCCAATACCACTGAGTCGATGACGCGCGCCCTCATATCCGACGACCCGAACCGACATATCGGCCACGTCCAACTAGGGTATGTATGCGTGTGTACATACGCACTGGAGTGACACTGACCACCACCCGATACTGGACGCAGCTGGACTGTTGCTCTCAGCTAACAGCTCAGCTGCCGCTCTCAGACCTGGTTCTATTGGTTGCTCGTCTTGTATGTCTACCGTGTCAAACATGTCCACTCATAAATGTCGTGCGTTATTATCACGAAAGATACACACTTACGCCTACTAACTATACTGATTAATATATCTACGTTAGTAATCTGCTACGAATAATGACCTAGTGACGTACTACACGAAAGACGATGCAATCAATCACACTGTTCACATAAACTTGACACTTTTATTATTTGACGAACAATCTTGTAAATATTTACATTGTCAACATACACTACCGCTCAAAAGTATTTGGCCACCCTGTAAAATACATTTTGTGAAAGATTGAATGAATGAAACTGCTTTATAATATTTTAAACTATTTATTAACACTATTTTAAATATTAAACATAACACGTTTCCTAAATTTTAGACTCATCTATATGTCCACCTTTGTTTTTTATTACGGCTTCACAAAGCTTCGGCACTCTTGCAATTAATCTCTCCAGTGTCGTCTTAGTTATCTTCTGCCATTCTTCTTGTAACTTTCTCCATAAGTCTTCCTGAGATGTAGGACAACATTTTCGCACTTGTCTATCTAACTGATCCCACAATAATTCGATAGGGTTGAGGTCTGGGGACTGCGGAGGCCATGTCATGAGTTTCAAGACATTTTGTTGTTCTTTTCCTTTTAAAAAGTCCTTGCAGAGTTTCGACGTGTGTTTAGGATCATTATCCTGCTGAAATACAAATCCCGAACCAATTAAACGGGTTCCTGACGGTACTCCACTATTCTCTAATATGCTTTTGTAACCGTCTTTTTTTAAGATTCCCTGTATCCGTACAAGATCTCCAACGGTGGAGCCACCAAAACAACCCTAAACCATCACAGACCCTCCGCCGTGTTTAACAGAAGCCACAGTACAAGCGTCCATCACCCTTTCATTAGACTGCCGGCGTACGAAAACTCTTCGCTTAGATCCAAAAATTTCAAATTTTGATTCATCCGTCCAGAGAACCTTTTCCCAATCTTCTGTTGTCCAATTTTTGTGTTCCTTAGCCCAATGTAGTCTCTTCTTTTTATTAACAGCTTTAAGAAGTGGTTTTGAGACCGCTACGCATCCTTTAAGTCCTGCGTCAAGGAGTCGTCTTTTGATTGTAGACACACTCACTGGTTTATCACGCCCTATGTTGAATTGTGCTGCTATTTCTGGTGCGGTTAATCGTCTATTCCGTTTGCTTTTGACAACAATATTCAAATCTTCACTCGAAGTGGTGGCTCTTGGTCGACCTGGACGAAGACTGTTGCAAATTGTTCCTTCAGACGCAAATTTCTTGACAACGTAGTCCACAGTTTGCCTTGGTATCTTCTGCAGTCTTGATATCTCACGATTACTTTTACCGGATTTATGAAGACCGATTATAATGCCTCTAGTCTCTTGAGAATGTTCCTTCGTTTTACCCATTTTCACCAAAAAAACAAAACTTAACGCGCGAATGACAAAAAAATGTTACTAGACTTCAATTCTTGAGTTGGAGAGCCTGATTTCTGGTCCAATGACATCAAATAACTAAGGTTATTCAATCTCTAGTAATTATTCCACGTTACCGAATTATTTATTTCTTAAAAATGTAATTAAAAAGAAAGTGCCACTTAAAATAAATTTTGAAGAAAATTCCGGCAATAACACCATCTTGATATTACGACCAGGAATTCGCCAATAAAAATAAGCTGTTTACCTTATTTGAATGTAGATAAGTATTTTACGATGAAATACAAACATTAGAACATAATAAAATTGTTTTTAATGAAATATAGTTGGTGGTAATATCAAAAGTGCAAGTGGCCAAATACTTTTGAGCGGTAGTGTAGCAATTGCTCTGAACTAGAAGTGGAACTTCAGTTTTGCGGTTTATGTGAACATTTTTATGGAACTAATATTGCACGTGATGATACATTCCTGCTAAGTATAAATTCATATAAAAACAAGAATATCAACTATAAAGATCTCCTGATTAGTGCTAAAGATGTACAATTGGTCAATTAAATATAATAAACCCCTTCACAATGACCTTTAATAAATGTAATGCATGTAATCCTTTCAACATTATATATTTGAGATAGTCTTCATGAAAATATTAATAAATTGTTGTACATCATTACCAACACGACAATGTAATAATAATAATATATTTAGATTATAACGATAACTTGTAGCTCTAACTGTACAGTATTGCTAAACATTTGTGCTTGATTTATTCCCTAGTTTGCGGGATAAACAAGAATCCCTGGAATTCCTGCCTTGGTTAGTAGTGTATATTTGTATTTTATATTGTAGTTGGGTATAGAGGTAGATATGGTTCGGGTATGGTATATGTTATAAATGTATGGTTGCAGACTCAACAGTAACTTGCCAGGCATCATTGAAACCAACTTTACTTCTTTCAATGTTGTCTCACCACTTGGGGACAAGTGAACATTCAGTTCAATTTAACACCCTTCACTTGCTTACTAACATTCACTTCAATATCACAGTATTGTTTTAAAGAACGTTAGATTTCATGTGCGCCGTCAAGGTAACTTGGACTTCAAGAATAGATAATGGAATTAGGTGCGAAAATGTAAATGCTGAAATTTATACGGAGCTCCGTGATTGAACTTTTCCGATTCCATAAATATTTTTTATCAAAAATCAGTTACACATGTCTGAAACTACAGAAATTAATTACTATTTTAATAATGACCCAAGATGTGCTCCTTGGGGTACACCCATATTTGTTCAATGTGAATAGGAAAAGTTTCGAGATCGGAGATATTTTTCAAACATAGACAATCCTAACAGCGTCTTGGTACGAGTGTCTTAGATAATAATTTATGTTTTGTGTCATATTATAGTATGATTACAAACTCGTGTTCATCTCTACAAACTCAAGGGTGTCAAACGGCTTACTAAAGTCCATTTAAGGACATGAGCTTAATTAACTTTAAAATTGTAATTAATACAAGAGTCTGGTATCTAGAAAAAGTAATATATGCCGAAGACTAATATTGAAGTAGACTAGTGGTTGGTATGGAGCCAACAGCTGGTTATCATGTGCCAATATTTAATTTAAAAATGTTTATATTCAATCTTACGGTATTTGAAGTGATTGAAAATTGTGTTTAACAAGTCTAACAATGACGGAGTTTCCGCTACAACCTTGAATCGATCGAGTATGGTTGTGATAAATTTGCTTAGCCTTTTCCAAGTAGATACATTGTGTAACACAATGCTGGCTGTCTAACACAATATGGGCTTGTTAGGTATCAATTACGTCATTGAGGTTGTTTCTAATTGACGCTGTAGCTACAAAGTGTATCAACAGTTTACTGGTAAATGTAAAAGCATATTGAACGACGACCTTAGCTGATATTATTTCGTACATTTCATAATAGGAATAAAATTATTTAAAACTTCTAACTTGGAAAGTGAAGTACTGCTAGTGTACGATTATAGTGCGACTAAGTTGAAATTTCCGAAAGTAATCGATTGTATTCTTTTATTGTTCTCATTGTTTTTCCGGTTTATTAAAGTTTTGTCGCTGTCTACAATACTTTGTGTGAGAATCACAAGCCACTTGGTTGGACGCAGTCTGTTAAACACAAACGTTTATTAAACGCATGTTTTACATCACAATGATCACAATACCTGTTCAAAGATGTCTCAGTTCCTTGTCACAGGTATCACCCGACTATCACGTCACGACCTCATTCCCACACTCGTTTTAACAATAATATAAACTATACTGCATAAAGTTATGTATTTTTCCAAAACCTTCCTCGGTAGGACGTGTGAAGATATTTGCTTATTTCGTCTCTCATGTTATGTTTTTATTATGCCAACAAAATCCTCAAGTTATTTGTAGATAACTGATTCAAACAATAACAATACTTATATTTTATCGAATGTTATTAAGATGACTGATAACGACGATTTG